CTAATGCAAACTTTGATTACCAGAAATTTACCTTTAAATGAGCCATTAGCCCGAATAATTATTATATCAGTTAATAACTCAACGAACTCTATAAATTGACATCACTAAAATTTTAAAAGCGATTTAACAGGCCGTGCCTTCTCTCGTCAGCGGAGATTTTGCATACATGTAAAACTTGTATAGTTGTCACGACTATTCAACTATTCGAATAATTGAAAACTCGATTTCTAGACTTTAAAAGTTGAAGAAGTTGAATAGTCGTAACGACTTAACGGTTTCTATACTACTGGTTGGAAGACGTTCTCTGAAAAGGCTCCCTCTCGTGAGTCGAATAATGATGTTTGTTTTCTATTTCAAAACGATATGAGACTTCTATTTCAGTACCTTTAAAATTTCAAAGATTTATCTTCTACATAGAATAAAAATCAAAATTTTAAATATCTTGAAAAATTGATCTCAAATTGCTTTGAAACGGGAAATAAACATCAACATTCGACTCAGCATGATGAATTACCGAATATTTTTTTGTAGAGATAGCCCAGGTCTTCTCTTTTGAATGGTGAAAACGTCAGCTCTCTATGTTGTTCCTATCAAAAGTTATTCAAAAACAAAAAAAAACAAACACCAGTCAAGAACCTTACTTTCTGAAAATGACAATAATCTTTAACTATTCTTATTATATAATTTAGCAACCTGATCAATTATATATTTTTATTGAAAAATATCGTCTTGAATATTTAATATGTCAATATCATCTTCTTCATTATCAACTTTCTCATAATCAATCAATTGAATCAATAAATACTTTAATTAATTTACAATATTATATATATCCATTAATATTTTCTCTTCCATGTACAATAATTTTAATTGAATATTTTTATTGTCAAATGAATTATAATCAATGTTTAATACTTATTAATAAACTTATAAGATTTTGGTGGTCACATATAACATCACGTGAAAAACTTGAATTAGGTAAATTAAAAAGTTTATCATTAATTATTGAATTAAAACAAGGTTCACTTGAATCAGCTATATTATCAGGTTATTTTGCTAAACGTTTATTAACTGGTTATCATGAAAATATATTTCTTATTGAAACATGTATACATTTAACATTAGCATTAATTGGTGAAATGCGTATATCAAATATTGAATTAATTTTACAACATTTAGAATATTTAAGTGAACAAACAATGAATTCTTATGCTAAATTATGGTATTATATATTAGTTATTGATGTTGCTATTGAACTTGGTTATGAACTTATACCAATAACAAATGATTTTCTTGAAAATATAACAAAATATCGTAAAAAACTTCTTACAGGTGCAAATCAACGAAGTTTATTAATTATATATAGTGATTGTACATTAGCACAAATATATATACGTTTAGGAAAATTAAATATGTCAAAAATACATTTTCAATTAGTTATACATCAAATAAAATATGATCAAATGTATTTATCAAATATTGATTTTCGTTTTAAACGTGCATTATTAAAATTAATTGAAACACAATTATTATATTGGTATCATACAAAAGAATATGAAGATAATATAACAAAAGATTATTTTTTATTAAATATTATTGATAATCATATTAATGATAAATTAATTCCATGGAATAGAACAAGATATTTTATTTATCAAGCTTATTATGATAGACTTATTAATGATTATAAACGAGAACAACAATATTCTATTGATGTAAATATTTTGCGAATGATATTAATTAGAAAACAGTTTCTTAGAATTTATTATCTAACTAGCGCGAGCCCATACATATTGTACGGCTGTTCTCCTTTAACGTATGATCTCAAAGCTTTAATCTTTCACGCAGTAAGAGCCATATAGACACTCCACATTGTATAAATAGATAGCTTGCAACCTCATACTCTTATATGACACATATTTTTATACTTCATTAGCTTTCGGCCTTATATCCCCTTGTAGCTCTTGTAGCATTACCCTCTTATTGTCTTATTCTCTTCAGGGCATATGGGTACCTCATATAATAGCCCTTGAGAGACTATGGGGTATCCTTATAAGACGGCCCTTGAGGATCTATAGATTCCCCAATATAATGACTCTTGAAGATCTATGGACATCTCCATAGGATAGCCCTCGAAGCTCCACAGATGCCCCTCATAATAGCTCTTCAGGACCCATGGGTATTCCCATAAAATAGTCCTTGAGAGCCCATGGATGCTCCATATAATAGCCCTTGACAACCTAAGGATACTCTATATAATGTCCTTGGGACCCCCATCGTTATAGTCTTATTTGACCTTTAACCTTTGACCCGACACAGATACTGAGCATTAGACATATATAGTATATGACACCTTTTAACTGTATTAAATGGAAAGATTTAGATCTCTTCGATTTGACAATAAAATGCAAGTCGAAAATATAGAAAAAAAAAACAGATCTTGAATCGATTATTCAAATATTTTTTAGTAGATCAAAACTAATTTCATTCAGAGGTGAGAGATTATGGCGACTGAGTAATGAGAAACTCATGGATTTTGACTTTTTTCTCACTAAAGAAAAGCGTTTTTGGGAAAGAAACGATTTTTTTATAAAGTTTAATCAAAAGTTTTCGAGATCGAAGAATCCGAATCTGTAATCGATTGCACGAGATTGTGTAGTTGATTGCTGGACCAAATTTCGTCTACCTTCTGGAAGCTTTTGATCAAACTTTGTTTTAAAAAAACCGCTACTTTCTCATTATGCGGTAACTGTCCTCTCCTAATAGTAAATAAAAGTTTTTATTCATTCACAAGAGAACTGTAATCCATCATCTGAACTCATATTGGACCCACAACGAGGTCTCGGTAAGACTAGAAAAGATCTAAATTTTTAAAAAGCAGTCATTTGTCACAAGCATAATACAGAAATCGAGTTTACTGGAATATTCAATATCTCAATGAAACTATATCCCTTTCAACTGAAACCTGTCTGGATGTTCTAAGGACTATTAGATATTATCTATGGGCAAAATTTCAGATCAAAACTCTATTGTTTGATTTCTCAATAAATATCTAAAAATGAGTCGAAAATTCAGTAGAAACGACTGTAACTCAGCTTCGAAGACTCATGCGGAGAAATCCTTTTCCTATGCTTACCGAGAACGACAAGTTATAGGTTAGGTGGATCTACAGTCTGATTACTTGATAGTAATGATATGATTTCGACTATTAACTTATTTAAAACATTGGAAAAATACAATTACAACATAATACATAGAAAAACGATAAGTTGCCAAATCGCTGTAAATTGACGTTTGATAGGCGCAGTATTACGATCATATTATATCATGCTGTATACAGTTGATAACCATTTGAAAATCAAATATCGGACTGTTTACATTACATTGAAATATAGATGTGTAATACTGCGCCTATCAAACGACGAAAAAAACATTATCTAAAATGGCCATACTTATTTCAACGGAAGAACTCTGAGTCACGCTGATCCTTCTATCCAGACCTACAGTTATTACTAGTTGTACGAAAGATAAATTATCCTTAAAAAATTTCATAACTCAATGTGAGTATTTTTTTTTTAAGTCTTAAAAAAAACAATTAAATCTTTTGAAATCACAAGTCCTCATTTATATATTCGATGTTCATTAGTTTTAAGCTCTTACCATTATTGACATTGAAAACGAATGAAAATTTTCATAATACAATGCCATTTTTTTTTAATTTTCAATCTTATTTTAGAATGATTTCAATTGGAAATTAAGTTTACAAGAAGCTGAAATCAATGCTATTAAACTTGATCTGGAATGGATTAAACGATTACGAGATGCATGGTTACATCCTATATCTGAACAAATATCTTTACAAATTAATCAATCAATATCTATTGAACGACCACGCACATCATCAACAATGACAAATAAATCAATTAATCGACATTTTATTCGACCAACTGTATCTAATATAAAAATATCATCAAAAATTGACAAACATCCTGATGAACAATCAACAATAACTATTCGTAACTATTCTCATCAAAAATTTGTTGATTGGCGTTTATTTTTAACTAATAACAATTTACCAAAACTCCAACTTTATATTCTTCCGGTGAGAGTGTGAATAGATCTGTTAATTAGTTTATTATTATTTTTTTTCATTCATTTTTCTATGTTTATGCATTGAAATATAAAAGAATAAAGAGCAACAATGTTAATTAAATACTACTTTCAAGTTAATCATACTGTGATGAAAAATTCATATTTTTGACACATAATTGCACTTTTCTTTTTTTGTTCATCAAACGAAAATATCGGAAGAAACTTTTTCTTCCTAGCATATCATCATATTGAATTTGATTGATCTCAATCATTTTATTGCTGATAGGTAAACTCACATTCTAGTTTTACACGTTCTTGTTCTTTTTTGTTCTCTGTTCTTATCTATGTGTACTACTAAAATGAAGGAAGAAGTCGAATCTAATCGATCCGATGTATACCATCATTATTGCCATCTGATTTTCATCATCAAAACACAGTAATAAAAATGTAACAATCAAAACCTTTTCGGTGATTGCCGTATTCAGTATTGAACAAGGTAACATTATCGTCGAAATGTTACGATTGAAATAAGAACGACGACTTATGAAGAATTAATACGATAACAGATTAGTATTGAGAGAGAGAGAGAGAGTTAATGACTTTTCCTTTGGTCTCAGCGAACCATCGATTGCAAAAATAAGTCAATATTGGAATATTATAAAGCAATGCTCGAGATTATCTTCAGTTTTTTAATCAAAGCTCACGTCAGATGTCACCTGAATACGTTCTTGCAAAAATCAATTCTAGAATCAAAAAATAGCAAAAACAAAGTTTTTATTTAAGTTAAATGAACTTAAAGTTACATCCGTTTTTAAAGAAAATGAACATTCACCAGAAGTCTGTTCCATAGCAACATTACCGATAATGTCTACTCAATAAAAGTTCAATATGCGCAAGTAATAAAGTGAAAGAATGGATCCATCTCAAGCAGCACGCATTATTCTACCGACGAACACCACAAGTGCTACTAATCCAACAGCAATTGTTCGTGATACAGTAGTACAGACGAATCGCGAGGGTGAACCACCTGAATATCGTGAAATCAAAACAACTGAACAAATTCTTGAGCCGACTTTATTAGGAAAAACTTCACCAGCAAAAGTGACGACAAAGACAACAACAACAGTTGAAGAAGTATCAACTATTCCAACTTCGAGAATAACAACGACTGTCCAAGAGATACCCGTCACAACGGATTATGTAGTGAAACGAGCAGATGAATTCAAACCGATAGCTGTAATCTCTGATACTACGCCCATCAATAGTGTCAACAATCAGATTGTGGAAACAACAAGTACGAGTAGTTTGACAACACCAGGCAAAATTGTCGATGGTTCAGAACCAGTCATTTCAGAACGCTATGTAACTACAGTGACCGAACCAGTGACAAAGAAAATCATCAAAACTGTGACCTACGAAACCAACAAGTAAAAGTAAAAACTACCCTGTTTTCTATTCAAGCATTATTAGCAGCTAATCAAGCTTTTTTTGTATATCAATCTTTATTTTTCACTTTATAATACATCTTCACTTTATGGAACGAGATTTCGGCTCCAAATGACGATAGTGAGCTTCTTGATGTTTATCGCTTGCTTTTGTTTTAGGTAAAGTTGATTTCCACGAATTCTTCTTGCCTTTTGCTCTAATGACTCCTAGCTCGTTTGTGCACAACCTATAAGTACTGATTGCTCTGTGAGATTTTAATAGGTTTTGATTGAAATTTGGCATTTTCATTTTGAATTGTTTTCGACAATTTAAAATTCATTTTGAAATGTTAATAAAATACTTTCAACATCATTATTCATCGAATATCTAAGCAATTTTATATATAAATGAAATTGTTTAAGTTTCTAATAATCATTGTTGAAATTTAATATCATTGAATGATAATTCATCTCTTTCATTAGTATACACTTTAGTTAAATTGATTGATAAATATATTTAATAGAAAATATAAATTATTGGTAGTAAAATCTAAACATTGTAGTTATGATCCAATAATTGGTAATATATTTCACCAAAAACTTACATTTATTGTTTGTAATTCAAAATTGCTTAAGTAACATTGATATTGTAATAATATAGAATTTAATTGCTGATTGAAATAAAAGATTGTATAAATAATCAAATATATCAAATATAATTTCAGTAGTTAATTCATCTAACCGGTTTTTTTTTGTTCACAGTTCGATGTAAGATATTTAAACACTTTTTTTTTTGTATATTTGTTAATAAAAAAAACAAACGGTTTGTTTTTTATTCATAAAACAGAATAATGTAATAAGAAAGAATAAACACTATTGATTTCTTTTATTCTTTTTTCAAAAAAAATTATGAATCATGAGATCTTTACAGTTGCTAAATTATGACAATTTGTATTTAGTC